AAATTTATGTTAATAACCTTCGCTTGCCGGTGCCACTCAGGTGATTGCCCGGTCTGCGTGTGTGGGCAAGGCAGTGGCGACACGTTGTGTAGGAAAAATATCACTGAACAGTATTTATTGTGACATAATTTCAACACACAATGGGTTTATAACTAATGTAAAGTCAATTAAGTATATACATGTACTACATATTTGCTGTGAGTATTTCTACAGTAGACTATACCAACTGTTACACAGGCTTAATATTTACTATACGTTTCGTGCAAATAGTAAACTACGTCTAAAATAATAGAAAATATATCAATGTCCAGACAAAGGGTGGATCAACTCATTTATATCCTCACCGCGAATAAAAGAATTGATTTAATAATTGATTCGATAATAATTAAAAAAAAAACCACTCCTGTCTTGATGAAATGCACACATGTGCTCTACATGTATCTTGTCAATGCTCTGAACACGTCCTCTTGATAGTTACCTTTTCGAAATTAAAATTATAATAATTAGCAATTCAAAGCACTATTTAATAAAAACTGCGTTTTAAAAATCAAGCCTTAATTTAATTTGTTGTATATTCGCCCTGTATCTAACATAGTTATTAAACATATGTTTACACGCTATTCCCTCTATAAAAGTAATTGAAACTCAATGTAACTGCAATTTAATAAACACCCATGTTTATCTGTTTATAGTTCCCACTGGTGCTGACGAAACAGTTCTCGCGAGATTCGGCGGTGCTCATTTGGATAATATGATCGAAGTTTGCAAGTTGGTTGCTTATTTTTAATTTGCTGATATACATCTTTGTGGCGTGTCATTACATCACAAATCCGGGTAACCATGGTTTCAGCGGAAGCTTGATCGTTTTCCTGATTTAGATTGGCGAAAAGACTTGCGACCAGTAGATGAAAGGTTTCCTCATACTGCTTGCGAAAACGTGCGTCACTTGGGGCGTTCGTAGCCGCAGAAGCAAACAACTCCATTGCCTCGCTGATCTGCTCAGTGTCAGACACCATGCGACCAGTATCAGCTAGGCTGAATGCGTCAAACTTGAAGTAGGATGGTGTAACTCCAAGTTGGAGCAAAGCGTATGCCAAATCTGCTTCATTTTTGGGACTTGAAATACCTTTCAACGATCTGCGAAGATCGTCTGCTGCCTTCACCAGTAACGCTTTATCTGGTGCATCATATTTATTACGTCTTTGGTAACCACGAGAAAGTTCTTTATACATTGTGCAATAAATTTGCCCACGTGTTGAGTAGGCAAACCAACTGATCTTGGGATCTGGATTCAAATCCAATGACCTGTTTACTAAACAGAGTGCCTTGCGATGTTGCTTTTCTTGAAAGCTGATATATCTCGCCGTTCTTGTCAATATCTTGTAATTAATCCCTCCATATTTTTCGGCAGCTTCAAAACACGTCATCGGGTTTTGAAATTTTGACCACAGATCAGTATCTTCAAGTAACCGTTTGCCTTTTTGAGCCAGCTCTGGCTTTCCGTGATACAGGAACATTCCAATGTGACACCATGCTTGGCCTTTGTGGTAGTCATCGGAATTGTCTGTCGTCACAACGTGCTTTAGTCTCGGAAGAGAATCGTTTAGAAGGTTCCATCGGCGTTGTTTATCATTTTTGGTCCTGCTTAACACGCGGAAACTGTTCTTTGCCATCAGAAACATCCATTTATAACGTTCATTTTGTAGTGCCTCAATCGTCTCAGATTCTGCCAGTGCAAATGTGTACATCTCGTTTGATTGTTTACATCGTACATGTAAGTTCATTTCCTCTCGGTTGTCAGCATAAGCATCAGAAGCTAAAGCAAATGCCTACATAAAAATAAAAATAAAATACTATATTAACATAATCTTTCAATTCGACCGAGAGCGTGACATCATACATTCAGATATACCGGATTCGGCTGATACCCCGCCCATCCTAAACCCCGCCCATGGGCGATGTTTCAAATAGTGGGCGATGTTTTGGTCCACACATTGCCTGACTGAACCTACAAACATTTTTGCAGACCCAATTTTCCTGTCCGACACCTTGTATCGAGCGCGCTATTTCAAATATGACGCTAAAAATAATTCACTGTGAAGTCGAAAAGCATAAAACGCCAATAAAACCAATGCTGTATACGAATTGTTGTTGCGTATTATTACTCGTTAAAATACATTTCACTTACGTTTATTAGACTCGAATAAAGTCTACGCTTG